TGCATCTCATTGTTTAATTATTATTTTTAAGTTATTTGATACTGTGTCTGCCTCTTTGATGTACTGTATTGGAAGTAAAATTATTTTCTGATTCTCTCACTAACCAAATGAATTCCAAATATTTGACACGAGTGTCATATTCAAGGTAGAAGTGGAAACCAAAATCCTGCAATTCAGTGAAGTATAAGCCTTGGCATCAAAATAGTAGTTCTGAATCATTCTCTTCTAGGGTATAGCACCTGCCACTCCAGATCATCCAGTTTCTCTGATCTCTGTCATAAGAGAAATACTTCTGTGGGAAGCACATCAACTGGTATAGGTAGTATTCTGGAGCCATGCGAAGAAGCTGAAACCAAAAGCACTGAGGATAATTTGGAAGTGCCTGTGAAAGACACAACCTCAGAAAAATTCATCAGGTACAAGACTTGCAAAATACTTTTCCCAGTTTGCTCAGGTACTTCTGCAGAAATATTTTAGAATTGCACTGTGATCTAAATGTTATATACAATAAATATTTCATAGGCATCCAGTGAAACAAGATTCTGTGGAATCACAGCTAAAAAGGGTTGATGCCACCAGAGTGGATGCAGACGATATTGTTGAAAAAATATTGCAGAGTCAAGACTTCAGTTTGGACTCAAGTGCAGAAGGTTTGTAAAGCACAGGGGGTGGGGTGGGGGAAAACCTGATTAAATTACTGGCTCCAAATTTCCTCATTCCTGAGTGGGCCTGTATTCCAAATGAGTTAGGTCCAAAGTGATCCTACCATGAGCAGAAGACAACTCTGCTCACAGAAGGGAGGGAGGATCTGCAACTTCTGCTGACTCCCTTTTCCACTTGCAGTCTCTCACATCATTCCCAAGGGTTTCTGAATCCTGGGACGGGGGTTTTCATGGGTGCAGAAAGTTGCACCGCAAAGCAAAGGGGCAGGAAAGGTCCATTCCACAAATGGAGTTCTACAAGCTTATTCTTAGATCCAAGTCAAGTGTGATAACATTGCATGTTATGAAATTTGACTTTTTCTTTTTCAGAGGAAGGGCTAAGACTTTTTGTAGGCCCTGGAGGGAGCACTGCTTTTGGAAGTCATCACTTACCCAATAGGTATGTATACTAATTATACTTACCTTCCCTACCTACTACACAATAAGTAACAAAGACCACATCTGAGCAATTCTAAAATTTGGAAACATGCTCCAGAAATCATCTGGACATAACCTTTTGGTTTTGTTTGTATGTAATTTGAAAATTGAACTGCTCTTTCATGACACCTGACTACCACTTGTAGTCTTGTAATACTCACTGACCACCGGTAGAATTTTGAAATGCAAATTGATCATTAATGTTAATATATTTATAAAACATTTTAAACACTGTGCTGAGATCTGAAAAGCAACACAGTCCATGTCCACAAGCTTACAGTCTAATGCACAAGATATAAAAGGGGGAAAGGGAGGGAACAGGAAAATTAGGAGTGAGGCTGATGATTGAGATGAATTCCTCATTTGATGTGAAAAGCAATGATAACATTCCATGACAACAGAATTATTTGTCCTGCTTGCCGTTGTCATCAAGGCTTTCGGCAGACTTCTTCAGTTACTTGAATGCATGGATTTTAAAGGTACTGAGTGTCTATGACTTGCAGTGTCTTCAGTGCACCTTTTGCTAGAAAAAAGGGCCTGCTGCTGTTTAAACAGTCTTCTAAAGACGAAATTATTATTTTTTCCCAAAACTGGGTTTAATTGTTGATGATGGTTTATTAATATATCTTTTATATTTAGTGGTTGTAATCTGATTTCAGTGTTACATATGGTGCCTGTGATTAGCAATAGCTTACATGCGCACCAAAGCCTTGGCACAGACCACAGCATAGAGTTATTGGTTGGGAATCATGGAAAAATTGGGTTGGATCCAGAATGTTGGTTGAATTCCAGTCCCTTGAAATCAGTATTGAAGTTTAGTCGTGACCTAATGTGTTCCACAGAGTTCAGTGGAGTTTAAGTGCAACTAACTGAAGAATCCAACTCCCAGTGTTCAAGCATATGTAATTAAACCATTGATTCTATTTTGTGGGTATTTGTTTCAAATTAGGTAACATACTGGGCATAGAACTAGATGTTACAAGAGATACTAAAGTCTTCTCGGTCAAAACAAATCAAGCTTTCTCTCATATAATATCTAAAAAAACAAAAATGTGTGATGTGGTAACATAGAGCCTTGACTTTTCTCTTCCCTTTCATTAGCTACCACTCACTTGGCCATGAACATCACACATTGCAGAGACACATAGGCTGCTGTGTTTTGAAAGCAGCAATTAGCCTCTTGTAATAAATATCAAGTTTCCTCCTGTTCAAAAGTGTAAAATTCTGTTCCAGTATTTTCTACTGCCTTTAATTTTTCAGGGTTGGATCTGGAGCATATGAGCAAGTGGTGATTAAACGATAGAGGAACTGGACTACAGTGGCAGAATTCTAGGAACTCCAGAACTTGCTTATTTCCCAATACTATTGAAGATGGGTGCTTCCAAAACGCAAGTTTCCATTGACCCGAGTTGTCAGATTGGGTTGCTCATACTGAAAGTGCCCTCTTCTGTTATCTACCTGTGGTATAAGGGTGAATTTTTCTTCTTCAAGTACTTTGCCAGCCATTGTGAATGTGTTGGTAGATTTGTTACATTGTTCTATGTGTCAATCAAAGCACCTTTTTTGAAGATAGGACAAATGGTATCCGATTTGACTTTAATATGGTGAAATCAATTGTCAGTATGTAGAAATGCATTCAGTGATGTTCTCTAATTGCAACCTGGCTGCTGTTGCTTTTTAATCCCTTAAAAAGACAAGCACATCTATTTCAGTCCTTTTCTGGGAGTGAGAATCTTGCCTCTCGAGTATTGACTTAATTGTTCCTGTCAAACTAGAATTGCTACAAAATAGGAACAGCTGCTTCAAGGAAGTGAGCCAGTCAGCTGTGCTTTGAAAGAAATAGGATTAAATACTGCTACAAATGTGTGCAACTTTAAGGCTAAGTCACATGTGAGAACTAGTTTATTACTTAAAATGAGTGACTAGCTTTCACAAAATTAAATCTGTATCGTATTACATAGTCCTCACTGCTGACAAGATTTGAACCCTTAGTACAACTTTATAGTATTCAAAGATAATTCTTGATGACATTTGGTGTGTACTGAAAAATAAAAGTACTACATCATAGATGACCTCACTGAATAATAACTAGTAATGAAAAGTTTAGGGCATACAGTAGTATGTTGTTTAGCTCATACAATATTAAATCAAACCGTTTAACACTTAAAAGAGTGCCTTGTTCCTGAGGAAAAAGGAGGTCAGAACGATTTCTTATAAAGCTTTAAGAACAACCATTAAACAGCTAACATAACTGCTATTATGCTTAAGCTGTCAAGAAAAGCACTTTATATAATTTTCTTCACCCCATCTGAAACCAGAGTCTTGTATTTTAATTAGAATTGCTAACTCAGGCCCAGTGTAAATGAGGCATGGATATGAGCAAATAACTTACCTCTGTACTTGCTCCATTTAAAAGGTATCTGCACTGTTCTACCTGATACACACATTGGTGTTTGCAACTGCCACACATGTGGTATAGTGCAGTGCAGTGCATGCAGAATGTCTGCATAGCTTGTTTTAAGTCATCTCATTTTAGTCCATTTCATTCAGCTGTTGTTAAGACAGAACTCATTGATTTTGGTGGAATAAATAGTTTCTGGTACATATAAATTTGAACAAATGAAACATGTAATGTGCCTATGCAACAGTTTTGACAAAGCATTTTCTGACAGCATAAACAACCCATTTTATTTTTGTAAAGAATTTTTTAGGGATTTGGAGTGAAGGCTGCCAACAATTCAGAAACATATTGACAGTTAGTAGTGGACTTCAGATGTCAAAAAAAGTTAGTCACTAGAATTAATCAGTATCTTCAAAACAAATTTGAATAAGCTAATGAGAGTTACTTGACCTTTGTGGAACACTGATGTTCTTATGAATTCCCTGGAGTTGGTCAATGTTTGTTATCTTTCTCAAGAAACATAATGAAAGATTTAAGTTGTTAGCTAAATGAAGGAATTTTGTATCTTGGAGATAGGTCGCAACTCATTCTTATTATTTAAATCATATGTGTGAATTGTTAAAATGAGAACCATTTCTTCTGTATTATGGTACCTGGAAGTAACTTGTCACTGCTTCATAAAACATTTTATTTAGCCTGAATTGTTCTAATTGAGTTCAAGTAAATATTTAATTTTTTAAGCTGCTGTTAAAATAATGCAAAGAGAATACACAACAAAACTTACTTTGAAACATACAGTGATCTAGGTAAAATTGAGTTTGCTCTTAGTGTGTTTAAGTAGGTCACTAAACTAGTGTGCAAATTTGTTGAAAAAATGCTAGTTCTAAAAAGTGTCGGTCCTAAAAGATGAGTGATTGGAGAGAACAAATTGGCATAAGGGAGAAAGAACACAAGGGATAAAAAAAACTAAGGTCACTAACTACAAGGGAACTATCATGTTCAACATTCAATAAACTTTATGTATTGCTTGTTTACTCAGATGTAATGTTGGTCACTCCTAGTGTAAATACCTGCATTCCCTGACTTAATACACCTTACACAAAGGCAATTTCTCTTGTACCCATCACACTGGTAATTTTTTTGAATTCCATATGATAGTTCCATTAAACAGCTATTATGCACTTTAGTCAACTGAGCCATGTTAATGAAGTGATTCCATTTGTGTCCCCAAGACATGGGAAATGAACTTCATATTCATATATGGCATTCATTTTGTGTAAACTGTACAGTGATACCCAAAATTAACATTTTTTAGTAAAGTCTGATTTTTTTACCATAAAATACTTGATGTAAAGTGGTCTTACAAACTCAATAAAAGTTTTGTCTTCAACCTGCATTTTATGTGCTGTTTTTCTGAACAGAGAATCAAAACAACAAAATGCAAAGGGTGTTTGCAATAGTACTGTAACTAATTTCACTTTATTAAATTGAAAGGAGCAAATAAATGGCATTCCATCCCCACCAAATTATTAGCTTGAAAAGGAGTGGGGTTATCTTTCCACTTCCTTCTTTCTAATACAAAATAGTATGCCAAAAGAATACAGGCTACATTTTGGGAGGAGCTGTATCTCATTTTTAGGTTACTTCCCTGCAGAAAAAAGGCCCAAGACAGGAATAGTTCAGTTGTTTGGGTCAGGTGGTTTCCTGATAAACTTAAATCTTTTGTATTCCTTGTACTAAGTTTAATACTGACCTATTACAAGTTTAAAAATTCAAGATTTTTTTTGGTAGAACCAGGACTCTTCCCTTTCCTAGAAAAGAGAATCAGTTAATAATTTAAGCCTCTCTAGCTCCATTGCTTTCTTTGCTCATCTATATTGGAACCTCTGTACAATTTAGTAGTCTGATTCAAAGGCTAGAGGAAATTAAACTGCATTTTGTATTGAGGCCTGACTTGCAGACATTCTGGAAAGTCAGCTTTATCTTCCTGTGCTAGGTTCACATTTTCTACCTGTGTTTATACCCTGTCAGCATGATTAATTCCACTGATACAGATTGCTGTGATTTCTCAAAATGCTTTTTATGCTATTTTGATTTGTTAGGTACTTTTGTTCTAAAACATTACAAGTTGAATGATCTATTTACTCTGTAAAATCTAGAGAAATGACAGCTCCAAAGCATGAAAAACAAAATATTCCAGTATTAAATAACATTTAGACACTGATCATCTTTGGGACAAAAAATGTATCTCATTTTGTTTCCATTATAATTATTAAAGCAGTTTATTTTAGGTATTCACTAAGTAAACTGCTGTAGTGGTTGTCATTGTAGTAAGACAATACAAAACTTTGACTGATGACAAAAAGTACTAAACATATAACCATGTTTTAGAGCACCACTCTGAGACCTTGCCACAGCTTTTTAGTGTTCTGCCTTTTGTCATCCTCTATGAGTCCCACCTGCAGAAAAGTTCCCGCTTGTTATTTCTGTGAAAAATTCACATTTCCTCTGCAGAGCAGCTACATTTCCATCAGCAATCTAGCTGGCATCCTACTCTTACGAGCTTATTGTAAACATGATTAGTAACTACTACTTGTATTGGTAGTTAAGGAATACTTGGTGATTATCTGTCCAGGGAAGAGACTGCCTTCAATCCTAATACTGAAGAAGTGATTAAACTTAACTTTGCAAACAGGATTGTCTTGAACTATTTAAGTCATTTAAGTGACTATTTTATGTAGTAAGCCCTAGTAGAAACTGTGCTGGGTTTTCTTCTCTATTCTCACCTCAAAAATGATTCCTACAAAGTGACACTATAATAGCAAAGTACACCAGGGAAAATTAGTGGCTACGGTTGTACGCTCTGCAAGGGCTTGGAATCGGGCCAGGCTGGGAAGTGATGCAGTGTTCTGGTTATAGTACAAGGAGAAAGCTGCTGCAGTGCAACTGTAATAGAGAGCATTACATTCTAAGGTAGAAGTAAAAAAACAATAATCTATCCTAGCATTTTTAAATGTGACAAGTGAATTAGGGAAAAGGTCAAAGAGCAACAAGGTACCAAACCATCTCTTCTCTTGCCCACTCATGTCTGTTGCCTCTGGTATAAAAACAACACTGCAGTCGTCCTCTGACTCTTTACCAAGGTGGTGGTGATAGGAATATTGGGAAAAGCTGCATCCCTTTTTGTTAGATGAGAACAGGATGCCAAGCAAATGCTTTATGGAGAAGCATGCCACCTTGTGGTTGAAATTGTTGCAAGATTAGTGAGATAGAATTGTCTAATATTTGTTTAGAAAAGGCTGTTTACTGTTACACAGAAACAATATTTATGTACAACTACATCTGCTCATTTGCCAATCTGTTTACCAACTACTGTAATTAAAGAAAAGCATACTTGAACAGGTAATACATGCAGGAAGCAAGGCATAACTTCAGTTACTTGAGGCTTTAATAAGGCTATCCTATGACTGGTGTTTGCTAGATGAATGAGTTCCTTGATCAAGCCATTATAAGGTTGAGACTATGGAAAAGAATTGCTGCTGCTCCTTTCTATAATCAAAACCTAGCAGTCACCCAAGGTTATTCTGGTACTTTGGGGGTTAGAATCAGTTTGTGGATGCGTTGAGCAACTGTATTTTCCAACTTTGTTCAGCAAGTAGTATTCTACAATCTTATTTGAAAGTCCTTATTGGACAGCATCTACAAACCCATTTCTATATAGAACAGTGTGAATGGTTCTGAAGAAAACTATTTTAAAAGCACACACAGAGCATTACACCTGGCATTAACTTAAGCAACTAATTTAGTTCTCAACTAAACATACTATAAAGATACTGATAATGGTGGTGTTGCATAATATAGTACACAAACTTCTGCAAAACCAACTTCCAATTCCAAAAATGCATCTTAAACATTACTTTTTCTGTTCGCAGACAGAAAACTGTTTTCTGACTTCTGTTCTACTAAACTACTGTTGTAAGCAGTTGGGTTGAGGAAGGTACATGTTTATTTCTCAATCAAAATAATTAGGTAGGAACATCTTATTCTAGCCCACCTCAATACAAAAAGATGGCACCTGATCCAAGTATTTAGTAGCCAGTCCAATCTGCTGAGTTTTTAAATCCAGCAACTAGCAGAATTCTGCTCACTGGACTCCTCCAGTTTGCGAAGTAGTACCAAGAGCAAGTATTTTTGAAAGCATTTGCTAATTCTCCATCTCCTCATTTTCATATTCAGCATCAATCAGCACTGCAGATCCGTCATGGCTGAGTGCAACTTTGCCAGTTATGAGATTGCTTAGTGTTTCAACTGTTCCACAAAGTTTATTCACTTTAGGAAAAGAAAAAATGTTTGCAAGAGGTATGTAGACAGAGTTTCCATTAATAAATGGCTGCAAACTTTTATTGTTGGCTTCTGTTAAAGGCAGATGCTTGAAATACTTCAGACTATGGTGAGATGTTTGGAATTTGGGTTCTGTTTCAGAGTCATAACAGGGTTTTTTATATTCAGATTTTACGTGGTCCCAGAGTCTCCTTGCAATTATTTGTGCTGTCCAAATAACTTCATTGACCACTGCAGTCTGCAAATACTTTTCATCTTTAAGGCTTGGATATTCAGCTTTGAAAAGCTTTGATATGGAAAACAAAGATGCGGCTTATTTATTGTTAGCACATTCTAACTGTTCAAAGCATTTCACATACTCAGCATTTTATGTTACAGAATATTAAACTAGGCACAGCTCTACTGGACCTTTTCTAACATGTTTACAATACACAAAATAAAGCTGAAAACTGCCTGTCCTTACTTGTTTGATGAATGCAAATATAATTCTCCTGCCGATTTTTAAGATAGACCATAGCCTACAACTGTGTGGCTTTCTGACCATAAAACGGTTGTCCATGCTCCTCAGTTCAATTTTCAATAACATCTATCTGTACGTGTGATTTTTAAAAACAAAAAACCTCAGAAGCAAGCCCTGTAGTATGCAGTGTAAGCCTCCCTGCAAAATTAGATAGGGCTCTTGCTAGTTTGCCCAAATTCTATCACAATACAATCCCTTGCACGTCTGCTGAAAAGTAAGTTGCACTGAAGTTAATGGAACTTGCTCCTAAATAAGTATGAATGGGCTTGCAACCTTAAAGCAACAAATCCTTAGTTTGAGTTAGCTTTTCTTCCATAAGTTACCCACTTACTGGAAATAAAACAAAAACAATTTTGAGCAATATGGTTGACACTCCTACACTGCCTTATTCCCATCTTAAAAGTACAATCCAACTTCAGAGTGGCCCACCGAACAAAGTGTTAGGCTTGGACCTGGGTTTAAATCTAGCTAATACTAATGGGAATTATAGGTTAAAAAAGGTAAAAAGGTGGGAATTACAGCATAGGGTCTAAAGGCTTAATTAAGTTATTAAAAACAAGTCTGCTTCTACAGTTCAATATCCAATAATGCTTACTAAACACTGAAACCGGGAAGAAAACATTCTAAGTAACATTTTCCTCCCTGGATAAATGATTTCATTTTTGATAATATTTTAGGGCTAATTAACAATTATTCTCATTCTTTTTGTCATTTTAAATGCCCAGTTGCCTCTCCATGCCATGTGTTCATCAATCGTAACACATTTGTTTTGAAAGTCAGAATCAAAAGAACTTCTTTCCTAGTATGTATTGTGACACTGACTGCTGATCAGTCACAAGGTTCACTGGATATCAATTCAGCACAAACTCAATACATAGACTTCTATTTCAGTTATCGTTTTATGTTTTACTATGTAACCACTTTATACTGAATTTATTCCTCCTTACAGAAGCAAAAGATCCACTTACGGTTTTATAAACTTGTTCCTTGCATTTCTCAAAATGTGTAGGTCCATCATTCTGGTATTTTCTCACAAACACACCTATTTGTGTACAAGTTCCAACATCTTTTTCAGGAGGTGGGGCTCCTAATCCAGTAAACTCCACTGTATAGTCGTAGCGAGCTGCAACATCTTGGGCCCTAAATTTATGACAAAACACCAAACTGCAAGTAACTTTGAAAGACCAATCCCAACAGCTCTATCTTGCTCATCAAACATGTGTATAGTGAGTACTGCTAAATCTCCCATCACAAGTACAAGCCATTATTGTGAGAGAGGCATTTCTTCCTTCCTATTAACAATGCCTGTGTGGATAAGTAGATGTAGAGAAATGGCAGCAGTGACAGGAGATTGTAGCTGTTAGGAACAAAGACACCTCCTCACCAGCCCAACAGACAAGGCCAGTGAGACAAAACAACTCCTGTTCTGTCCAACCCTGAATTTGGAAACAACACATGATTGTTGCCAACAAACTTTTGTTCTGTCAATTAGAACTATACCCAGCCTTCACTGACTTCCAGGAGTCTGTTCTGTTCTTTAGACTATGAAATAGACAGCAAAGAGCATAAAGCTTCACCCTCATTAGAATAGTAATGTGAGAGTTCTCAAACTGGACCATGAATATTCTTAATAATTCTTAAGCATTATTAAGATATGTGTTTGTGTGAAGGTTTAGTGGAGCTGGTATCCCACAGAAGGATGGGGGGAGAAGAGGAAATTTGGAGCTATGGTGCAGCAAATAGTATGCAGGAATTTTGAGACAATCCCTATATTAGAGGATATTCCTGCTTTGAGACCAATCCCACTTCACCTAAAAAATCTCTGTATCTTTACCTACTACAATGCCTCGCAATGGTGCTCATGATTTTAAAAAAAACAAGAAAATACATAGATCAGAAATTGTTGTCATTTCTTGTCTCACCTACATTCCACATATTGTGAGATTACTGGGGTGGAAAAAGCTACACCTAGACAACCAATGGTTGTCCTTCACTTTAATTACTGTTATTTCCAAAATGATTAACATATAAGGTAGACATGGCAGTCACCACAGTATATTCAAAATCATAAAAGCTTTCAAAGGGTATAGCAAGGTTTTATTTTATTCCCCCACAGCCTACACTAAAATATACACCAGTTTTTTTGTTGTTTTACTTTTTGGAAGCATATAAAAGATGGAATGAACTTACCAGTTCTTAAATTGTGCACGATTCCATTCAAATTTATGATCTGGGTGTCTGAATAATGTTACAGTTGGAAGCAAACAATTAAATTCTGAGTTTGGTGTTGTTATTACGACCATGGCTGGAGACATAAAACCAAATACCACTTCTGGGAATTTGTCCAGCTCTTCTGCCTCCAGGTGTTCTATTCTGAAGATAGAAGGGTTACAAGGATCTTCTTAGCAAGTAGATCAACTGAGTACAGTACATACTTGAATGAAGTAGCAAAGCTGCACAACTACAGTAAGTCTGATATAAGAAAAAATACCTTCTCAAGATAACTTTGTTTTTCTGTCTAAAAGTATGACACTACTTTATACTTGATCCAACTAGCCTAGTATTATATATTCCAGCTATGCAGTTCTCCATGGTCTCTAACCAAGACCTATCTCAGTCCATACCTAGAAGTTCTACATCTTATTAAAAACTGACAAATCATCAGGTCTGGATGACAATCCACCCAAGAGTTCTTAATCACCATCTATATTTTATTGTTGTTTAGCCGTTTAGTCGTGTCTGACTTTTCATGACTCCATGGACCAGAGCACGCCAGGCACCCATCTATACTTAAGGAATATATGTAAAACCATTTTTAAAGGGATCCAGATGGGATCTAGGATTTTACAGGCCAGTTAGTATAACATTCGTTTTGGGAAAACTGATGGAAAGCATTATTAAAGGTAGAATTACAAAACATACAGAAGAATAAGTCTTTCAGAGGCAGAACCAGGCCTGTTTCATCAATCTAATTTAGAGTATAAACAAACATATAGATAGAGGTGATACAACTGACACTGTACTTAAGATTTTCAAAGAGGTTTTAATAATGTTTCTGTTAAAGACAGGAAATAGAGTAGGAATAAACAGAAAGTTCTTTCAATGGAAGGATGTGGAGTAACAAAGGATCCGTATTGGGGCCTGTGCTTTCTAACTTGTTCATAAATTATCTGTAGCTAGTGGTAAGCAGTGAGGTGATTATATCAATTGTACCAAAAGGAGTTCAAAAAGGACCTCCCCAAACAATGGCAGTAAATTTAAGCAAGTGTATGTAAATGGATGCCCATTGGGGCAAAAAAAATATCCTCATTTCACATATATGTTAATCTGGCAGTTAAGTCTGAACTGCCAATGACTGTATAAGAACTAGACCTTTGGGTCACTGTGAATAGCTCGAAGATGTCGACCTAGCATGCAGTACATATGAAAAAAGGTGGATTTTATGTTAAGAATCATTACAAAAGTGATTGAAAATAATACCACCAGTATCAATCCTACTGCCGATATCATAGTGCTGTTGGACAAAATCTATGGTGCATCCACACTTGGAATACTGTGTACAGTTCTGCTTGCCTCTCCTCGAAAAGGATATTGTAGAGTCAGGAAAAGTTCAAAAAAGGGCAATCAAAATGACACCAAAGTTGGAAGATTCGTAAGCCCTAGTTCACATTGTCGGGATTAATGGCGTTTCTCAGGTACAGAAATCTTTTCCAGTTTATAAAAGTAAACAGAAGTTTTTCTAGTATATTCTTTGTATGTGCAGAAACTGAAGCTGGAACATGCTAGAAAGAATTCTAGCTGCTCAGCACTTTTCATTTCTGCTAAGAAGCAAGGTGGATATTGTTTTGACTACATCTCCCTTCAACGTAACTGGGAACATGTATCAGCTGACCAGTGACCAGTTACACTTTACTTTTGATTCTCTATCTGCCTGGATTCTTACTTCCTCACTCTCGGTGTATTCTGGTATAGTGTTAGATTTTATATGCTGAACTGAAAACCCTCAGTTTTCCATGAATGTTTCTATGCCCTTTGTTCCAAAGTATTGCTACACCACACAACAGTCTCAACCATCCCAATTGTATTAATTTGTATTGTCCTAAGTTTAAGAAGTTAAAAGATGGCACACTCCTTTATTTTTGAGAAGTTTATTGGAACTAGGGAAGAGGAATGTGTGTTATATATGGTAGAAAATGTATTTAAATCAACACGCTTTTAAAACCAAAACCTGAAAAACATTGCCAAATAAAATATTTCAGTAGAATACTCACACTTCAACGCATGTTATCATATCAAAGCCCAGCATACAAGGGTCTTTGTGAGCAACTGAACCCTGATAAAGGATAACTGTCAGACGTCTTTCACTTGGCTGGAGATAGTCACCAGGAAGGGGAGATAGTGTATGCCTACAAGCAAACAAGTTGTACAATATACAAGACCTCAGGTGACTTTTACTTTTAACCATACTACCCCCCACCTCATCTAACTACTGGTGCACCAGGAAGTTCCAACTGACTCTAGCTGAAATGGAAGGCAAGTCATAATAATAATAATAATAATAATAATAATAATAATAATAATAATTTTATTATTTATACCCCGCCCATCTGGCTGAGTTTCCCCAGCCACTCTGGGCGGCTCCCAATCAAGTGTTAAAAACAGTACAGCATTACATATTAAAAACTTCCCTGAACAGGGCTGCCTTAAGATGTCTTCTGAATGTCAGGTAATTGTTTACCTCTTTGACATCTGCTGGGAGGGCGTTCCACAGGGCAGGCGCCACTACCGAGAAGGCCCTCTGTCTGGTTCCCTGTAGCCTCACTTCTCGCAATGAGGGAACCGCCAGAAGGCCCTCGGCGCTGGATCTCAGTGTCCGGGCTGAATGATGGGGCTGGAGACGCTCATTCAGGTATAAAGGACCGAGGCCGTTTAGGGCTTTAAAGGTCAGCACCAACACTTTGAATCGTGCTCGGAAACGTACTGGGAGTCAGTACAATATAATACTGGATTTGCTGGGGCTCTACAGTCTGCACAGGAAACGCATTTTAATGCCCTTACTTGACAGCATAAGAAACAACTGTGCACAATTACAAGTAACTCTCAGTGAAAGTTTGATGTTTCAATTTTATTCTTTTTCATCATTTAATATAGTAAAAATGTCTATGCATTTTACATAAAAAAATTAAACAATAACATTAACAAATTATTTAAAAACTAGATAAAAATGGGAAGACGGCAAAACACAACTGAAGATAAACTCTGGAAGATATTTTTCTTGGGTATAATTCCCACAAACTGAGTATCTTACTTTCAACAAAAACAATACAATTTTTTTGTGTGACTGTCCCAACATTTAAGGCTTTTTAAAAAGGGAAATAACTTAAGAAATTGAAAATGGAGAAGAGTGCAGTTTGCTGACGCCGAGCAAAGCTTATCAGGAGCTAACTACTCTTTCAGATGTATTAGAGAACTGCTAATAATAATATTGGAGAGGTCCAACCAGAAACATACATTGTTCCAAATGTAAAATACTATGGCATAGGATATGACACATAATAATATTCATCCTCAGATGAGTTTTCAGTATTTTTTCTCAGTTGACATTGCTTTTCTTTCCACTGCTAGATTGAGGTGATTTAGGTATATTCTGTGTACTCTACCTAGTCTGGTACTAGCAACGAAACCACAATCTTAAATATTCATTTGTTAACTATTAATATTAATCAAATGAAATATTTTCAAACCTAAAAGGTGCTAACGACTGAAAAATACTAATTATGAAGCCATGTGAAGAAGAGCAAACCATGGTGATCACACTGTTCCCTAACCCTGGGGAAACAGTGTGATTGTCACTGTTTGCACTGTAACACATGCTTTCTTAATTAGGCTGATCGCTGTTGGAACAGATAAAGCTAGCTGCACAGTGCTCCACGAGACTCAACCATCACCTGATTATCAGAGCCAGTGAATCCCAGTGCACTGCCAGGCCAAATGAGAAGGCCCAGTGTGGCCCATGAGCTAGAGATTCCTCACCATTGCTGTAGCCAACTCCCAATCTCGTGTTAGGAACTGAATGGCTGATTTTGAGATATATATATATATATATATATGCAGGTTTTGGTGTCCTCGGGTGTCTTCCCGTGTAAAAGTTGGGGTGTCTAGGCGACGTTTCGACGAGGTCTCACTCGTCATCTTCAGGCTGGTGCTTTCGGCTTCTTGTTACTGGAACAGAGCAGGATCTCAGTGTTTGAGTTCCTATAAATACTGTTGAGGGGGTGTGGTGTATAGCCTCCAATGTTCTGGGCAGAGAGGAAGTTCCCAGGCTAGTGTGCCTTTTCTTCTTTTGTTCCTTAATTACTTGAGGGATATCTTGAGTGATTTCTTGAGTGATATTCTGAGTACCACTTAGGTGGGTCATTAGGTGTGGATTAGTTGCTAAAGCCTTCGTGTCTTGACCTCTTGAACTTTGTGAAGAGTTTTTCTGAGAAGATGGCTGTACTGCACTTAGTTGTGCTCTGGCTTGGCTTCGGGTATAGGGGCGAGCTGTGGTTTTGTGCCTTGTGCCAGCCAGATCTGTGTAGGGATTGCAGGGGGGTGCAGCATCCGGAGGTGCCACCATGGTTTGGCTACTGGATGGTGTCTGTAATTTATCTGTGGAGAGGGTCTGGGTTTGGGTCTGGTGTGGTTGATTGGTGATGGCGTTCTGTGTGCCTCTGGATCTGGTGTCGGTTTTTGTGGGGAGGGCTAATTTCCAGATGTCTGGCAGGCGGGACGTGTCGTCACGCTTGTTCATGTTGTGAGGGTGTTTCTCTATCTCGATGGCTTCCATGATTATTCTCTTGTGGTGATGTTCCATGTTAAAGAGCAATTTGGAATCTGCAAAATTAATTTCGTGTCCTGTTTCTTTCATGTGTTGGAAAAGAGAGGAAGTTTTTTCTTCTTTTTTGACGGCATTCTTGTGTTCTGCGATACGTGCATTTATTCGTCTGTTTGTTTGTCCAATGTACGTGGCTGGGCAGACTTTGCAGGGTATTTCATAGACCCCTTTATGAATAAATTACAGACACCATCCAGTAGCCAAACCATGGTGGCACCTCCGGATGCTGCACCCCCCTGCAATCCCTACACAGATCTGGCTGGCACAAGGCACAAAACCACAGCTCGCCCCTATACCCGAAGCCAAGCCAGAGCACAACTAAGTGCAGTACAGCCATCTTCTCAGAAAAACTCTTCACAAAGTTCAAGAGGTCAAGACACGAAGGCTTTAGCAACTAATCCACACCTAATGACCCACCTAAGTGGTACTCAGAATATCACTCAAGAAATCACTCAAGATATCCCTCAAGTAATTAAGGAACAAAAGAAGAAAAGGCACACTAGCCTGGGAACTTCCTCTCTGCCCAGAACATTGGAGGCTATACACCACACCCCCTCAACAGTATTTATAGGAACTCAAACACTGAGATCCTGCTCTGTTCCAGTAACAAGAAGCCGAAAGCACCAGCCTGAAGATGACGAGTGAGACCTCGTCGAAACGTCGCCTAGACACCCCAACTTTTACACGGGAAGACACCCGAGGACACCAAAACCTGCATTCCTGTACCCGTGAAAATCTACGAAAGCAAATATATATATATATATATATATATATATATATATATATATATTCTGAAATTTCCAAGCTGTTTGCTGTAAACAGCTTTTGGAAAAGAAATTAAAGGATATTTTTCCTCCTTACATATTCTCCTTCATCACATCTTCACTAATATCTAGCCCAACAAGCACTTCAATGCAGCTGCAGAATTTCAGCATCCAGAGTAGCCTGCATTCAGCACATCCCAAATCTGCCACCTGTCAATTAGAATTAAATACATTAATAGTCCATAACTAAAACTGGTATAACTTTAAAGTCATTAGTAGCTTAGGAATCGAAACTGCTCCTTAATTCTGCATTTGTTTGCACTTAGGGTGACATACGGAGGGTTAGTCATACTCAAAACAGACAACTTATTTGGGTATCACCCTTAGTTTGCCAAAGGGCAGGGAAGATGTGAGATCTGACTCCACTGGGGGGGGGGGGGAATCAAAGGACCCAGTTGACCCAGTTAATGCAGGATAAACTCTGTGGTTAGCATTGGCAAAGTTCTCTGTTAACTCCAAACTAGGCAACCATGACTTAAAAGTTTGTTAACCAACCTTAAGCCATGTTTCCTGATTTGGACTTATCAGTGAAAATTCTATCTGGGCAGCAAAGAAGCACTTTTCCTTCCCTTCTGTCCTGGTTGGCACAAGAACAGGTTCTGTGACTACAGTGTTGGCTATACAGCTCCACTCTACAAGCCCTCATGTTCCTAGTCAGGGTTTGGAATTGGTCTCCAAGTGGCTGAGAAACTGTAAAATAATACAGCAAATTTGAGACAAGAGACAAGTAATACAAAGCACCCCTTTATGATTACCCCCACTCCCATTTAAGTTTTCCTTATTTGTACTATTTCCGCATGGAAGTGTCTGTCTAGCTCAATTATGTTTAAGTGTGTCACATCACAGCAAGACTAGGGCCAATAATTCTGAAGCAGTTAGCTATACTATAAAGAGCACATTTTGCTAAGAAACATATACAAACCTTTTTAGGTTTATGTTTACTCACTAACTGTTTAACGAACAGGTAGCGTTGTTTGTATAGCGGTGGCATAAATTTAATTGTCCTTGTCAGTTCATCCTTTTGCATTTTTGCATCCATAGCCAAGGCTAAAAACAAAAGATAGGAATGTTTTTGAAATGCTATATAACAATTATTTTGCAGCTTGGAAATTCCCGAGCTTTCTTGGCTCCTGCTTTCCTTTCAGTCTGAAATCTAACACAAAATTTGTCACCATTTTGACAGGCAGCATTTTGGTATCCCATGTGTTTATTTCCTTCACATCTTTTCTCCACGAAATTGGTTGGCAAAACTTGATACAAACACCAAGATTAGTTTCTAGCTTTTGATATAAAATATGTTATTAATGCATTCATTAAAGCCTTTTGTTTATTGGTTATTGTTAATAATGCAAAAGAGGTTACTACCAGTGCTTCTTTTTCAAGAAAAATAGGTGCCGGAACTCACCATGAAGTTGTTACAGTAAGCCACTGGGTGACTCGGGGCAGCTCTGAACGGATGCTGGTTTTGCAACAGGAATGTTCACCACCCACAGAGCAAGCTATCTCTCTATCTAGCTGGTTTGGGGGTCACCCTTGGTTCTGGTGCAGGTCAAATAAATAGCCCCCCAAGTTCTCTTAAGATTCAGACAGATGGCTAGAGCAACTCGGAAGGGCCCTTACACAAACACGCATGCATTCATGCAATGGTAGAGGTCTGGCTGGAAACCCTAAATCCCACCACCGCTACACATCAGAGAGATCGAAGAAAAGGTAATACAAATTGGCCCCACCTGTAGCTTGACCAATCACAGCTAGGAGCTAGGTGGAGTCATCGATCTTTTAAAAAGTAGACTTGCACACACTGGTCAGGCTCCCTTGAAATGTTCGTTTTGGGCTTCTCAGAAGTACATAAAGGCAGTAAGTAGGCAGGGGCTGGAGCCAGCCCGCAATGGCACCCCCCTCCCCACAAGAGCTGCCAGAACTGTGCTCCGGAGCACTCCAGCTGAGAAAAAGCACTGGTTACTACCATCATTTCCCATTGCACAATTGTTTAACACTTGAAAAGGCCGATTGCTCTTTCTTAAGCACATGCACTTGGAAGTAAGCCATACTGTAATCTATATGCATTGCCTCTGAGTAAATATGTTTTAAGATTAAGGTATAAATGTTAATTTGTTCTTTATTAATAGCCATAATTTTAAATAAATCCAGCATGCAGCACATAATACATTTTAGTACTGTTCAGGCATTGCAACTGCTGTGAACAGACGGTTGGCAAGTCTAATTAGTATGAACTACAAAATTATTAAAAAATGTTTTGACGTTACTGGCAACGCTGCTTTTTCAATGATTTTATGAGGTTGTCTCATTAAAATGTTCCAGTAGCTTCTTGACAAAATACTAAATAAGGGGAAATATATTTTTCTTCTTCCTGTGCTGGGGCAGTCTCTGACTGGCAAATGTCTAGCTGTCAAGACAACTGAAATAATTGTGCTAAACGCTGTCTCTAAACACACTGTGAGACAGAAGAAATGTTAAGTGAGCAGGCTCACATTACACACTGTACCCAGCCCCGAAATTGGGCACTATTTCTCCTGTCAGTCTGCTCCATAACACCCACAAGTTCAATAGATAGGATTCTGCTCTGAATGCTTCATTATTTGCACAGCACTATTCCTTGTGTTTTTTTAAAAAAAAACTTGTTTCTATTCTGTTTTTTTAAAATTTACAGTGCAACCAGGAGGCATTCTGCAGCAGCTATTTAGCTATAAGAAAGATCCTTCTGGCACTATACTAAAAGCTAATGAATTTAAGCTCAAATCTATGCACACATACTTGGGAGTAAGCCCCACCAAACTCAACAGGACTTGCTTCCGATTAGCTAGGATTGTGCTATAATTCTGAAGCCTAGGTTTCTCTGGACTACATTCACTTCAACAGATACATACATGAAATCAAGATAAGAGGAAGCATACTTCTGAATCCAAGATGGAGAAGGGGCCATAGCTCAGTGGCAGAGCATGTGATTTGTATGCAAGTCCCCGGTTTAATCCCCCAAATCTCTAGACATTCTGTGTGGGGAGGGCCAATGTTTTTATTTGTCACTACATTATGTATGTTTGCTTTTTATATTGTAAACTGCCCTGTGATGAAGGGTGGAAGAGAAATTTAATAAGATAAATAAATAAATCCATGTAGACAATACTGTACTGAACAAGATGGATCAATTGTCTGTCTCGGTATAAGGCAGCTTTCTATGTTCCTATGGCTGGAACAAGCAGCAGGGGAAAGCCATCACCTTCATGTCCTACATCCAACGAAGCGGTTCTAGTTCACAAAAGGATATGCCATTCACACAGCATTAGAAAAAAGAATGAACCTTGAAGCACCTTAATAAATGTCCCTAGATTTAGGCTGCAATCTTATACACACACCTATATGGGAGCAAGTAAACTCAACGTGGGTATCCCTGCGACGGGGTGAGCTCCTGTTGCTCGGTCCCTGCTCCTGCCAACCTAGCAGTTCAAAAGCACGTCAAAGTGCAAGTAAATAAATAGGTATCACTCCGGCAGGAAGGTAAACGGCGTTTCCGTGCACTGCTGTGGTTCGCCAGAAGCAGCTTAGTCATGCTGGCCACATGAGCCGGAAGCTGTATGCTGGCTCCCTCAGCCAATAAAGCGAGATGAGTGCCACAACCCAAGTTGTCCACGAGTTGACCTTTACCTTTAAACTCAATGAGACCTATTTTTGAGTCAATATGCCTAGGGTTGCACCATAGATCTACTGCCCAATTTTGCTGCTATAAAATAAATGTAAGCCTAGCACACCACCTAATTTTTATATTCTATATTTTAATAGTAATATTAATAATAAACCTGCCTAGATTCTCTTTGTTCTCATTTTCCACCTACCAAGGAATCTGTGCATTTCACTTATTAGTGAAGAGACTTGGAACAGCTGGATTTTACATTTTCAATTTACAGTATAAGTACGTACCAATTATATTTTCAAATATGGGGCTACTGAATGCACCTTCTTCACAGAAGCTTGAAGCGCATTCTGAAACCTGCACAGCACCTAACAGAGTCTCCTTTGAATGACTGCTACCTCCACCCACATCCAGAATTAAAACGACCCAGGAATCTTTGGGTGGAGGGCAGTATAGAAATGTAAAAAATAATAACAACAACAACAATAACAATCAGCTAGGCTCCCCCGGTCCTGTTTACCTTCCAGTCCAGTCTGAAGAAGAGTCCTAGCGATCTATAAAACAAAAACAAAAAACCTTGCAGTGTTTTGCAAAGTTTTACTTATAAAAGGCTTGCTGCAAACTGAGTGGATTTTTCTTATTATTACAAACCCACACGACCACCTCTTGGTTTTTACGAGGCTATTTGTAACAGACTACCAACACTTGACATTTTAGGTAAAGGGACAAGGGGCGCCTCTACTTTCGAAAACTCGAAGGCCGCAGCCTGCTTCTCGTCTCCTGATAATTTCTACTTTAAAGAAAAGCAACGTGTGTGTTTTGTGGGAAAAAGCGGTGTTTTCACTCCTCTCCCTTCCCAAAGGGCATTTTCCGAGCAGCGAAACTGAACTGGCTCGTGCAGAGGCCTTTCACCGTTCACCCCAACTGGCCTGGGGGCATATCAAAACGGTGCGGCCCACTCTGAGGAGAAGCGCTTCAGTCCCGCTCTTCGTACTCTCGGAGCCGTATCTGAAGCGCCGCTGCCGCCGCCCTAACGTAAGCGCAGCCTCAGCCCAACCGCCCACTTCCGCCTGCGCCCACTGCTCTGATTGGCCGCGCGAGCCCGGGAAGGCCCTTCCGTCACTTCCGCAGCGGCCGCCATCTTGTTGGCGGTTGGCGGAGCTCGGCTCGGCAGCGTTCTCCCCGAGAGGCTTCCGCTCGCCTCGTCGCCGCTGCGGCCTTTGCTCGGCCGACCGCTGTTTCGGTGTGAGCGGGAGTCGCCATGGCCAACAACTGCCCCGTCGTGGGCGCCGGGAACTGCCACCAACAGCAGCAGCAGCACCAGCAGCATTCGCCTCAGCAGCAGCCGGGAGGCCAACAGCAGCAGCAGCCGCCTCTCCCGCTCCCGCAGGCCGGCGCCGTTTTGTCGCCTCCGCTGCCGCTGCAGAGCGCGGGGCCCAAGCCGGCGGCCTCGGGGAAGCAGGGCAACGTGCTGCCCCTGTGGGGGAACGAGAAGACCATGAACCTGAACCCCATGATCCTCACCAACATCCTCTCCTCGCCCTACTTCAAGGTGCAGCTTTACGAGCTCAAGACCTACCACGAGGTGGTCGACGAAATCTACTTCAAGGTGAGCCGGGAACCGGGAAGGAACTAGGTCCTTTGGGAGGAAACCGGCGAGATTCTTGTTTTCAAATCCTTTGGTTCGCTCATCACCGCGTGGCCGAGCAGGGCTCATCTGGCCTGGGCCCAAAAACATAAGGCTCTTCGCAGCTGTCTCTTCCACAATCCAATCCCATACTATTTTTAATAATAATAATGAATATTTTATTCCAGTCTCGCCATCAAAATGGGAGATGCTGACCTATTTCTTCCCACGGTCGTCAGAGAGAAGGCGATGTAGTTGTAATGTGGCTACTTTTTTTCTTTGGGAAATGGCTATGCAATTCTTTGTCTCAATCCAAACTCCAGATCTCGATCTCTCTCGATCTCTCTTCCCACCCCCCAATATCTTACCAGTCAGATTTGTATGTTGGTTGAATTTAGAAACTTATTGCCAGCGCTGCGTGTGTGTTAAAACTGGCGAGTGTACTGGGCAGCATGTTCATGTCCTCTCCTAGCCAAAGATCTAAAACAGGCGGTTGAGGAATTCAGCAGGAGGTAACCAGCTGCATTCTCTGTTACGTTGGCTTTATACCAACATAACACTGTCCTGCTAATCTTAATGCTAATAGGTTAAAATTTGAGGCCAACTAGTTGATTACGGCTGTCTTAAAATGGAATTCTAATAGGCTGTGTATTTCAGATGCTGTGAGTAAAAGCTGTTTAGTTTGATCTGTGTGACCCTGCTTTCAGTCATTCTTATGGCTGCTAATACAGTCTTTTATTGATTAAATCGGGGTTCTGTAACCTGGAAGATTATGACTGTCATTTATTTTCTATGAACCAGTTTAAGCGTTGAAATGTTACTATTCAGGTGTGATCCTGAATTGCGGAGCTAAACACAATGATGGGAAGCCTGTGGCCTTTCAGGTGTTTTTGGAGTCGAAAAACATATGGAGAGCCACAACTTCCCAATCCTTCACCCAGAACCTAGCCCACCACTTAGATATCTTAAAATTACCTAAATTCACAGTGGAGTAATGTCATTTGGGACCAACCAGATTGTCACAAAAGGGGGCGGGGGGGGGTAAACAGTTAAAAAATTGGGCTAATGTAGCCATTTATTATTCTCCAACCACACCCCTTTTGTGTATCATAACTGATTAACAGTTTTGAAGAACTCAGAAGTGCCACATGTTTTTGACATTTTGGGTAGTCTCAATAAAAATACTATCCAACTAGATTTTGGTGGGGAGTTTTCTTACAGACAGATATAGCTACCGTTGCCTTTTAAATTCACTTATTTTTCTGTACTTTCTGGTCCTTTTGAAATAACTTTGGTATGGGACTTGAGGGAATACAGGAGGAAGGACTTGAACTCTCCATAGGTTACATTGTTTCTAATGAACACTTAGCGTACTTTGTTATAGAATAATTTGATATGCTCAAGACTTTTTTTGGGGGGGGAGCACAAGCAGAAATCAAGTGGGCTGTTAGATTGGGCTATTGAATTTAAATTAATTGAGCTCATAGATAAGTGTGTTTATATTCCAAGTTTTTCTCCACTTCTGTTCTCTTAATCCATATCTTCATAACATCAAATATAGAGAAATCAGATCTATCTGCATTTTCCAGGAGGCATTACGACCTTCGGTTAATTTCATTGACTCTTGCTGATCATACAGTGGTTATAGTGTGGCATAGTGTGACTCTTTTTACCACTTAATTTAAAAGCAACAAAACCTCATTCTTTTTAACTAGCAAATGATTTATTTCTAGAGCTTGTAGGGTCCATCTACATTTAAATCGCCTCACTTTCAAAAATGCTACCTTAAGCAAAATATTGATTACTGATTCTTTAATTTCTATACCACTTAATATACAGTGGTACCTTGGTTTACAAACTTAATCTGTTCCGGAAGTCCGTTCTTAAACCGAGGTGTGCTTTCCCTAATGATGCCTCCTGCCACTGGTGCCCTTCCAAAGATTACCAAAATGTAAGATATACTTGCCAAAAATGTCAGTTATATCTGATATGCTGGTTACCTTGGTTGGTAAGAGCATGGTGCTGAAAACACCAAAGTCAAGGATTTGATCCTCATGGGTGCATATTCCTGCATCGCATGGGGTTGGACTAGATGATCCATGGGGATCCTTCCCATGATTTTATTATTTTATTTTACAATTTATATTATTTGATTAAGATTTGCTTTCCTCATTTTTTCCTTCCTTTGTTTTTTTCATACTGCCTCCTTTACCCCCAGAGTTAACTTAAAGCAACATTTTCAAATAATATGCTTCATTCATGCTTAAATTAAAACATAGGAAACATGGGGAAAGCTATTAAGTTTCTGTAATTTGTCAGTCAAAATTGTCTTACATATGTAAATCATGTATATTGGAAATACTTCAAATAAATAAGAACAAGTTGAAATATTTTTCATATGAAGTGTAGAGCAATCACGTTTACTCAAATGTATGCTCTTTATTACACTGAGATTTACAAGCTTGTTAGCATGGATAGAATTGCAGCCTAGGAGATGGTTTCAATGTAATGTGAAACCATGCTGTACTGTGAACAAACAGTGGTGAGCCTTAGAATCATACTCTCTGTCCTCTCCAAGCTTTTAATTATTTTTCAGTTGAATATGTGCACAGAGCAAAATGGCACCTGTAACACTGAAGTGGGAGCCCTTCCCACTGTGAAGATAACATAGAAAACCTGGACTAGATTGAGAAGAGCACGCACTGTACAATAATTTCATGCCTGGAAATTGGTACAGAGATGGGGTGGTGAAGAGCCACAACATGTTCTCTTCCCATGTATCTTGGAGCAAATCATGCTATATTATTATTATTATTATTATTATTATTATTATTATTCATACCCCATCCATCTGGCTGGGTTTCTGCAGCCACTCTGGGTGGCTCCCAACAGAATATTAGAAACATGATAAAATATCAGACATTAAAAACTTCCCTAAACAGGGTTGCCTTCAGATGTACAGTCATACCTCGGGTTGAAGTAGCTTCAGGTTAAGTATTTTCGGGTTGCGCTCTGCGGTGACCCGGAAGTAACGGAGCGCGTTACTTCCAGGTTTCGCAACATGCGCAGACGCTCAAAATGACGTCATGCGCGGAAGCGGCGAGACACGCAGTTGCGTGTTACATTCTACTCAGGATGCGAATGGGGCTCCGAAACGGGACATCCAGAGGTACCACTGTATTCTAAAAGTCAGATAGTTGTTTATTTCCTGATGGAAGGGCGTTCCCAGGGCGGGCGCCACTACCGAGAAGGCCCTCTGCCTGGTTCCTTGTAACCTCACTTCTCGCAGTGAGGGAACTGCCAGAAGGCCCTCAGAGGTGAACCTTAGTGTCTGGGCTTAACGATGGGGACAGAGACGCTCCTTCAGGTATACTGGGCGCCGAGGCTGTTTAGGGCTTTAAAAGTCAGCACCAACACTTTGAATTGTGCTCAGAAGCGTACAGCTTGGGAAGAAGCTGTATTGTAATGCTTATAGGCTTTGATGGTCATGGTCCACACAAGAGTCAGTTCTTTAACAAATGAACTTAAAGTCCCTTTAGGTAATGGCAGGAGTCCATTAATGGCTGATGGTTATTGTGTATATTGGCAGGAGCCCCTAATTTCTGACCTTTCTGAAGAATGGCTTGTTGTCTTTTACAAAGACTCTGAAAATAGTCAGAAGTTTTTCAAGTTTGGTCCAATAGGAACAAGCTTCAGAATGCCTCTGAAGTTCAAAATGACATCAATGACAAAATATTCCTCCCCTTGTCATAGGCACACATGTAGTGTAGAGCCTAATTTTAGCTGGTTGCTAGGACCAGCCAAAATTTGTGGACCCCTAGCAAACACAAGCACTTTCTCCATTCCTTGGCTTCTTGCCTAAGTCACCACTACTTTGCACAACCATACACTTGCCATTTATTATTCATGTTTAGAATTTATAAACCACTTAATATAGAATACCAAAGTGATGGACATAAGATAAACAAAATTAAATGCATAATAACTGAGCTAGTATAAATTTCTTAAAATAGAAAGTGAAAGGTAGGTAAGATATTAATAATTGAATAGCAGAGCACTTTGTAGAGAAAGGTAGTTAGAGGGCATAAAGTAGAAAAGTGATAACCAGATGACATCACTGCATGATTTGTCTGAAGAACAGACTATTGTCTCCTGGAACCTCTAGCCTATCAAAATTTACCAATCATCTCATAGGCCATAATAATAAATCTTATTTGCAGTGCTATATTTGTATTCTGAAAATGTAAAAGCCAGATTGACAGTCAAATCCTGCATGTTTATTTAAAAGCAAGTCCAAAATATTTGACAGAACTTATTCTCAAATAAATGTGTATATGAGACATGACCTTAGTTTTAAATAGATATTAACAAGTACACCTCTAGCTCATTTTGTATTGGACTTGGGGTTGAGGAATGATTTGTCCTTACTATTTGCTGAGGGTGGGGG